CCCTCCCGCCCTCCTTCCTTCTGCTTCCGGGTCGGAGCCATGGCGCTGGCAAATTCAAGCCCCGTCAACCCTGTGGTGTTCTTCGATGTCAGCATAGGCGGCCAGGTGAGATGCAGGCGGCCACCCAGCCCGGCGCCGACGGGGAGCTGCGCGGGGCCGGCCGAGGGAGCTTCCAAACCTCGGGGTGGCGGACGCGGGGAGCCCGAAAGTGAAATCGGGCCACCACCTAGCGACCGGCCGGCGGCGGGAGAGGGAGGAGGAGGGCGCTTGCCCATTCTGGCGCCCCGATTGTGGAAGGATTCGGCCGAAGACAGAAAGGCAGTGGAGGGCGATTCCCCGCGGCGTGGGAGGGTGGGCCAGGCATTCCCACTCCTGGCGCCGGGGCCTTCCCGCGCTGGGCCTGGCCTTTTCCGACTGTCTCCTGCCGGTTGCAGGAAGTTGGCCGCATGAAGATCGAGCTCTTTGCAGACGTCGTGCCGAAAACGGCGGAGAACTTTAGGTGAGGAGGTGATCCACCGGGCCGGAACCCAGGCCCAGTCAGCCTGCGGCATCGTCCCGTCGCTGTCCACTCAATGCCTGCCCTCGAGACGCCTCATCCCTCTGGGGATCGCTCTGTGCAGATCGCTCCCCTTTAGTTTGCTCCTGTGCCAATTTCTGTTGTGGGTCTGTGTGAGTGGGTGTCGGGACAGCCGTTTGGCGGGTGGGGGTCTACCTGGCCCTAGAGTAGCTGGCTTTAATGCCTGTGTCCACCCCTCCCCAGAGGAGAGGCTTGCTTTCACAGCCTTGGTGTCCTGATGATTGAATCGTTCCTCTTCCTTTCAGGCAATTCTGCACCGGAGAATTCAGGTCAGTCTCAGACACGGTTGCCTTTCCTGCCTGTTCTTGATGGGGATCTTGAGCTAGCTGGGACGCACAGCAGGGTTTGCTTGCTTCCAACACTCGGATAGGAGGTTACACCCCAGGGAGAGGTGTAGCTGCACTTTCTTTTCCTTCCTCACCTCTGCCCTCAGCTCTTTTTAGAAAAGCCCTTTTGAGTCGGGTGTGTGTTACCCTGGAAAGTTCTATGATTGCCTGTTTTCATTCCCAATCTCTCTTCTGGTTGTAGAAAAGATGGGGTTCCAATAGGATACAAAGGAAGCACCTTCCACAGGTAAGCAAGCCTTTGGCAGATCATCCTGGGAGCTTTCGGGATTGCATCCTGGAGGATTAGAAAGAGAAAATCAGAAAGTAAGTCTTAGATTTTAGGAAGAACATTTTTTATGCATTCAGTAACTCATTTGAAGACTTATTCAAGTGTTCTAACTGCTTATACTCTTCCACGAATTCCGTTTAGCTATTCAAAATAGAAATTACCCATGATTCCAACATTCTATTTTTTTCATAAGCTTGTGTGGGTGAATGCAGTTTTTTTTTTCTTCAGTATAGTTGCACTCATACATCCTGATGCCATTCTTAAAATGGCCACACAGGGGGCTTTAAAAAGTTCCTGGGCAAACGGAATCCCAAGATAACTTAAAGGATTTCCCCAGGCATTTTTATTGAAGCCCCCTGGATTATTAGCATCCTAGGATGATAATTTTTCATGATAATGACCGTGGCAATCTCCAGGTAGCATTGTTTCCATTCAGAGTCTGCTTCAAAGGCCTCCTTGAAATTAAAAACAAGAATTAACAGGTCACTTGCATGTTGATTTTAAGTGATGGTCTCTAACCCTCCTACCATTCCTGTGAGTTGGTAGGTGTTATTTACATTCTACAGTTTGGAAACGGAGGCTGGGAAAGACTAAGAACCCTGCATAGGTAGCATAACTGGTACTTTTCCGACCCCTGTGTGTGTAGCAGATCCAGCATCTTACAGACTTTCTCTGTGGTGCTTTCCCAAAAATTGTCATCGAGCCCTTGATTTGCCGTTTGCTTTGGTAGATATTTTGAGTTCTTCCTGCAGGGCTTCAGTCCCTCTTGTTACTGTTCCTGGACCAGCTGGTGAATGAAGCCCTTTATGGGAGTCATCCCGTCAATTCATCATTACAGAAGAGAATAATCCCATGGGCAGCCAAAGTGATGAAATTTGAAATCAAGTTAATCTACACTATGGTGTTTCTAAACCATAGATTTTTTTCCTCTCAGAATTCTTTGCTCTCTCTTTTGCAGGGTCATAAAGGATTTCATGATCCAGGGTGGAGACTTTGTAAATGTAAGTTCTAATCCTTTCTTATCAAAGACCTGTCAGTTTGTTGTTATTGCTACCATGGCTGCTGTTTTTGCTACAGGTCCCAGTCTTCAGCTTGGAGAACAACAATCCAGTTTGATGGGTTTGGAGGGTGATAGGAGGGAGACCATTTAGGATGTTAGCTGCTATTTACCACCAGGTGACAGACATCTGCATTTTACTTCATTCGCCAGTTTTCATGGTGCAAACCGCAGCCAGAAACTGGAATTTGTGCCACAAGATGCTTGGCTCTGCCGACAGACCCACACTAATTAAAATTACATGAAATCTACTTAGAACTTAGGTACAAATTCTGCCCCACACCCACTGCTGGTATCCCAGAGGCTGAAAAGCTGTGCTTTTAATCAGAAGTTGATTCAGGAAGCAATCAGGAAGAAAGGTAGATACTAAGAGAGGGATCCTTCCTCTGTTCTCCAAGGACCTAATGGAATATTCCTTCACAAACAAACATGTTTTTCTAGAATGTGTCCCCATGTTAAGCTTTATATCCCACCACCCTTCCACCTCAGATGGTGCAGAATAAGGCACTTTTTGAAAATCAAAGCTGTTGTTCTCACTACCCATCCATTTCTGTGCAGCGCTCTGATTTATTCAGTAACATTTGGTTATTATGTAGTTGGGTTGGTATTGTCTTGACTCCGAGAAACATTCTTTCTCCATGTTTCGTGTTCTATTGTTATTATTCATGAGCTTTTAAGATGCCTCTCTTTCCCAGCCTCTGTGGGGTTACAAACTGACAGGTTTTAGCACAGATCAAGTTTCCAGAGACATGATGTTGAAAGCTGAGAAGTTTCACCAAAAACTTTTGATTTCTCTTTAGGCAATAATAGATGGGGGCACATACGCTCGGGGTTCGTTTCCTGTATAGTGCCCATTAGCTGGCCTTAGATAATGACTCCCTTTAGATGTTAATGACTCCTTTAGACATGGCCTGTTCTTACCTCTGCTCGGCCGTTTCCCGATGCCCACTTTATTTATGCTGCCTGTCCCAGTAGACAACCTCTAGCCACGTGGAAGGAAGCAGAGCTTGTGACTACATTCTTTTTTGTTGGCTAGTGAGAAAGACTGCCTTCTTTCCTTTCTCTCCATAGGGTCCAGTATTGCCAGGAACAGGGCCAACCTCTTCCTGGGTTTTGCCCCACGTGCA